CCAGACATGGTGGTATACCTCTGTAACCCCAGACATGGTGGTATACCTCTGTAACCCCAGCACATGGGAGGCTAAGGATTTAGAATTTGAGGCCAGCCTGGGGTACATAGCAAAATCCTGACTCAAAGAGTGAGCCAACAACAACAACAACAAAAACAGAGTCTCTCTAAATAACCCTGCTGTCCTGGAGCTCACTGTGTAGATGAGGCTGGCCTTGAATTCACAGAGCTCTGTCTGAGTCTGCCTCCTACATGCTGGGATTAAAGACGTGTGACACCATGCTCATCTAGACAACAAAATATTTAAGAAACATTGTCCTTCTTCTTCTTTTTTAGGCAAAGAACAGAGCAATTCATTATTTGCATTATATAGAACTGTATGAAGGCCATACAAGTGAGTGGGGCATTTCTTCCGATGTCTGCAGGAATGCATGCTACCAACTGTGTGTGGCAAGATACTGTTGTATTTCTCTATCATCCTGTTCTTACAAATGCATGAATGTGGGAACAGTCTAACCCAGAGGCCAGCATGTGCCCGTCCCTGGCCACTGTGTGCTGCTACTCAGGGCAGGATGTGTTGCTTGGTGATGTTGCAGAGCTGTTCGAGCCCCTCACCCAACCCTCTTGTGTTTGTGCTTTCCCTCCAGTATTCCATGATATTTCATTAAGATTTAAAAGGACGCAGATCAGGATGAAGAAACAACCCAGAGGTAATGAACTCTCACCATTTGTTGAAGATAAAGTAGAGAAACCAGGGCAGCCGTGGCCTCTGCCCTTTTGTTCACCTTTCCTGATCTATGGAGGCATTTTCAGCTGTGGTTCCCTCTCATCTGATGACTGTAGCTTGTGTCAAGTTGACACATAACCAGCTGGGATAACATAGTAAACTGTCTGAGGCTCCACTCCACACTGAGTGCCCATCTTCTCTGAGGGCTCCCTACTGAAGCACTGGGTGTGCAGAAATGGCTCTTCCTGCCTCTCAGAGAAGCGGGCAGTGTTTGCCTGGGGCTGTGATAGTCATTCCCCATGCTCTGCGGGTGTGGATTCTGACACATTCTCTTTCTCATCTCACCTGTGATTCTACAGTGAAAAATGGTCTCATCAGACTCCAGTTATAGACATCTCAAAACTTTGGGGCTGAGAAGTTCAAATTTTATATCAGAGCTTCTACTACAGTTCTGCTAAAGCTGTGGGCTGAAACAACATCACCCACACACAAACAAAACACAACCCTCACACCAGTGTGTCAGTGCGTCAGAGCTTGTCTGCTCCTCCGCTTTATTAATCACCCAGATACCTGTTTAGACCTGGACAAGGGTCAGACCCATTTGTTCCACAGAACGGCTATCAGCCGGGAGGTGATTGTGGAGTTGATCTGTGGCTGTAGAGATACTCAAATCAAAAACACACCTCATTTGCTATGAAAAAGGAATGTGAAGTTTCTCACTTCATATTGTATGCAGTACATTTTGAAATGGTAATATTTGGACCTGTTTCTTTAAAGAAATACTTTGCTAAAATGCATTGTGCATTAAATGTATTAAAACAACTTGAATTCATCTATGAGAAAACTCTAAATCACGTGGCTTCTGTTTGTGGCTTGCATTGCCTTTGGGGTGGTGGTGGTGGTTGGTTTAGACACATTTATTCCCAAATGCAAAGCCAACAGAATGAATGACAGAGTTGTTGGTTGATCTTTTTCCAGGTTATGGCCTCCGCTGCCACAGAGCCATTATCACCATCTGCCGCCTCATTGGCATCAAGGACATGTATGCGAGGGTCACAGGGTCTAAGAACATGATCAACCTTACCCGGGGCCTCTTCCATGGGCTTGCTCGCCAGGTAACCTCCCGAGTGGAAAGGCAGAAAGAAGCACTGGTCTGTGTGGTTTCTCCTCAGTACATCTCCATGTGGAGCCTAAGTCAGGTGCCAGGCCCAGCTAGACAGCTCAGGGCTCTCACCTCCTAGATATAGAACCTTGCTTATTAGCGGCTGTAGTTCCAACAGCTCAGGTCAGTGTAAACGCGGTGGGTAATATGAAGACTTATTGGGCTCTCCTGAATAGAGGGGCCCTGGGTGCTTCACCAAGTCCAACAAATAGGACTAAACTAGCAAATGGATTTTCTTTCTCCTTTTTTTTTTTTGTTTGTTTTTTGTTTTGGGGGTGTTTTGTTTTGTTTTGTTTTTCAAGGTAGGGTTTCTCTGTGTAGCCCTGGCTATCCTGGAACTCTATAGACCAGGCTGGCCTTGAACTTACAGAACTCACTGCCTCTGCCTGGGATTAAAGGCGTATGCCACCAATGCCCAGTTGGACTTGCTTTTTTCTTTTGGCATTTCATATACTGAAGGAGCTAGACCAAGCATGTTTTAACGATAGAACAATGTAATTACTGAGTTTCTAAAACACTGAGGCTTAAACTTGAAGATGTCCATAAGATATTTGTTTAAAAGTTACTTCAGTGGGTTGACTGTCTGATGTAGCCATGGAAGCAAAGAGTGGTGGGAACCCTGAGCTGCTGTCCAGTGGGGTCTGGCTCATCCATATGGAGGGGAAGATTTGTGACAGTTCTTCCTCCATCTGAGTTTGGTGTGGGTTGTGGGCTGAGGTAAATCTCTGTGGACGCATCATCCCAGTCTAGCCACACACATTACCCAGATCAAGTGGCATAGCTGCTTCCCCAAGCCGTTGAGGATCCAGATGCTGACTTCCCTCTGGTGACAGACGCCCTGATCCTCTAAGTAACAAGTGTCCTTCACAGACCCAAGCTGTCCTCCACTCGCTCTTTTCCAGGAAACCCACCAACACCTGGCTGATAAGAAGGGTCTCCACGTGGTGGAGTTCCGGGAGGAATGCGGCCCTCTGCCTATTGTGGTGGCCTCCCCACAGGGGGCCTTGAGTAAGGAGCCCGAGCCCGAGCCTGAGGTCCCTGACACCAAACTGGACTGGCAAGAAGTAAAGGCCATGCAGGGAATGAAGCGCTCAGTGTGGTCTGGGCTAAAGAGATCTGCCACCTGAAGGTCGCCAGCCTGCCCAGCAGTGCCCGGTGCTAGCCAGCACCTGAAAAGACTCTGTCCTACCCCTGATGTGCTGCCTTTTCTTCTTTTTTTTTTTTTAAAGGAAAGTCCTACCTTCTTTGTTTTCAAATAAATAATTGTAGATTTTATTTATTGAGCACATGGTATATAGCAGTCAGTGTGATGAGACTGTTATGGGCAAATACCAGGAGCAACTCATTCATTTAAACTAGTAAGTGTGAGTGAGATGGGAGAAGCCAGTAGACCCAGGCAGTAGTAATGTGCACAGTGATCATTGCTGTGATAATTATAGGTAATTATATTACTGAGTCATCAAAAAAAAGTGAATGTTTTCTTTGAGGACTCCCCCTCAATCTTTGGTCCTTAGCAGTTTCACTGTGATGTGCCTCGCTGTGGGTCTTTGGATGCTTTTTCTGCTTGGTGATCTCTGAACTTTCTGGCCTTTGATGTCCAATAGTAACTAGGAGCAAATGTTGCCACCTCAAGGACCTTCATCACTGTATTCCCATTAGTTTCCTCACCCCTTTTTCTTGTTTTATAGTTCTTAGATCCATCCTCCCTCCTCTTTTCTGCTTTGTAAGTTTCTCTTGATGTATCCTCCATGTTTGGTCCAGCAGTAAGCCCATTTAAAGATGCTCTCTGTTTCTCTTGCAGCATTTTGGGTGTTATGTTTTGTTTGTTCACTCATATTCTGAGACAGGGTGCAGTGGTTATAATGAGAATAGTCCCCATAGGCTCATGTATTTGAGTGCTTAGTCCCCTTAGTGGAACTATTTGGGAAGGATTAGGAAGTGTGACCTTGTTGGAAGACGTGTGTCACTGGGGTGGGCTTTGAGTTTTCAAGAACCCACACCAGGCCCCATCTTTATCTCTGATGCCTGTAGATTAGGATGTAAGCTTTCAGCCCCATGCCTGCCCGCCTAATGCCATGCTTCCTGTCATGGTGATAATGAACTAACCCTTGGAAATTGTAACCAGTTCCACAATTAAATGGTTTGTTTGTTTGTTCTTGGTCATGGTGTCTCTTCATAGCCATTGGACAGTAACTGAGACAAGGGATCTCATGTACTCCAGGTTGGCCTCTTGACTCTCTCCATGTGGCCAGAGCTTGCCTGATCTTCCTGCTAAGTGTTGCCCCACTTAGTATCATACTTTTTTCTCTTTCCCCTTGTGGTACCAGAGATAGAGCCTAGGGTCTTGAACCAGCTAGGTGAGTGCTCTGCCACTGAAGGATGCCCCTGGCGTGTTCCCACCGTTTCCTCCCAGCGTGGTTCTGATTCTCCCATAGAATCTCCCTCTGGTTACATTGCCATCTGTAGCAGAGTAATCTTAGTTGTGTAGACATGTCTGGGCTGGTAACTGACATCTGTCCCTGCTGTGTCTCAGCCCTGCTTTGTTCGGATGGTGTAACTTGTCCCCTGTCGCTAGGAGCTTGAGGTGATGTCCTGGGCGAGGAGCTGAGGGGAGAGATGTGGAGAGTGGGAAGCTTTCTGTGGTCCTGTGGTTAGACCTCAGTCTTCTGGTAAGCCTGTTGCTGGGCACTTTTTGGTTCTGCCCCGTAGGTACTGAAATATTCCCCTTCCCTTGGACCACAGGGTCTGATAAACCAACAGTAGATTAGTGTACCAAAGTAGTTTCTCTTCACCTAGCATGTTCAAGGCCCTGGTTTCAGTCCCCTCCCCTCCGTATACCTACATGTCCCCAAAGGAAATTTTTTTCTAGAGTTACATTATTCAAGGCTACAGATAGAAGCTAATTATTATGAAAGAAATACCTTTAAGATACATTGAGAACATCTACATTTTTTTCGTTTTAAATAGAATCCACAAGAAAATTGGGACTGGTTTGTGGAACTTGAAAGGAGAAGTTTATACTCTCCTGTTGAGCTGTGACCCCAGACCTTGAATTATTTTTGCAATTTATTATTTTATTATTGCTCTGTATAAGCAATGAGATTTATTGACCTCTCTTTTATTAATCTAGTATGTTATTTCCTTATACTTGATTTGCTCATTTTTTTAAAATGTCATTTTTCCAGCTGGAGAGATGGCTCAACTGTTAAGAGCAGTGGCTGCTCTTCCAGAGGTTCTGAGTTCAATTCCCAGTAACCACATGGTGGCTCATAACCACCCATGATGAGATCTGGTGCCCTCTTCTGGCCTGCAGGCAGACATACAGGCAGAACACTGCATACATAATAAATAAATGTGAAAAAATAAAAATAAGTTTTAAAATGTCATTTTCCCAAAGCTCTGACAACTGTATTGGCATTGGGTAAAAACAATGTAAGTAAAAATTGTTTTGACATTTAATTATTCCCAGTGACTTGGTATTAAAATGAAAAGGGAAATAAAAGTTTGTCTCGAGAGCTAGGACTTGTCACTGAGAATGCTGTATCTCAAAGAACACCTTTCCCTTCTCCCACTGGAAGCATGGTGAACCTGCTAGAGCTGGAGGTGAATCTAAAGTGTGGGGGGCCCTGTGACTAGTTCCCCGGAGTTTGACACCTGGCTTGTCAGTACAGCCTCCACGACCCATCAGCTCCCTTCTGCTTTCCCAGAATGTACAAGGCAAGGGACTTAGGAACCCTACATATAAGAGAAATGAAAGCCTGGAGAATGGACCCCCAGGACACTGTGACCTGTCCAGACAGTTGATGACTTATCAACGAAGGGAGCTAGAGAGTGATGATGCTTAGCAGAATAATTGTCTTGAGTAAGAGAAGCCAGGTTTCTCCCAAACGAGATGGAAGTGTAAACTATAGCAGTAGAAATCAGGTTAGTGGTATTTAGGGATGAAAGAGGGTGTTACTGAGCGGTATGAAGCGATGTTGAGGATGGTAGATGTCATGGTGATGTGGCAATGGTTCCACGGTGTCTGCAAAAGGCAAGGGTGCGCTTTGAGCATGCGCTGAAGGATCCTTATCTTGGGCTCCTGACTTCCCTCTCTCCAAGGATGAAGAGGGAAGACAGGAGTAACAATCTAAATGCAAGGGTAGACAGATATTCTGAGATCCTCTAGGGTCGCAGAATGCCGGCTAGGACATGTTTCCGGTGTGGCAACTCCACCCTCAGATAACTCAGGGTGCAGGGAGAGACTGTCAGTAAATGTTACAGTTCTAAGCTCTTGGGGGTCATGGCATGCCAGGTTAGAGTAATCCCTTGTGGAGCCAGTCTGCAGAGTCTGGAGCCTCCGTTCCTGCTTGCAGCTGAAGTGGCAGGAGCAGCCTTGAAGAAGCAGAGCAGCCTCTAGCAGGAGTAGGGTTTCCCCTGCTCTGGCAGGTTTCCTGAGGGTGTGGCTTGGGAGTACGTGTCATGGGAGCATCTCTGGGAGCCAGACTCTGAAATCTTTAGGTTTCCTCTGAAAAGAACGTCTGGGAACTGCTCCCCACCCCAGGTAGGAGTCAGGAAAGAGGCAGTGGACCCTGTTACTGGCGGATCCCTGGCGTGTGCATGTGGAATGTAATATGGGGCCATTGAGAGCTGGCAAAGCAAAGGGGAAAGAAAAGGCCAGCCCAAACCTGAGAATGTCCTCAATGAGAAAGCCCTCTCCTCCTCTTCTCTGTGGTGCATGGGAAATGGCTGAGAAGTGCAGGGTTTGTGGGTGTTAAATGCAGCCTGCTGTGTTGGGTGGGAGTTTTTGCGTGGGTTCTGTGCCAGTTTACCTTCATTCACCCGGAGTAGCCGCCGTCTTTGGTAGAGAGGGTCCAATCCAATATGGCTGCAAGCTGTCAAAGGGCAGCTCTGAAAGCTGGGGTTTTGAGGTTGTGAATTACAGTACGATCTGATTGCCTTAGCACCTGGGTGCCCATACCTGGGCTGTTGTGGAGCTCAGACAGATGTTGGGGACCCTAGCCAGCTAGGGTCAGCACCGTGATGGGGTGGGGGTGGGGTCACCATGTGATGGGGCTCTCTTCCCCGTTATTTACACTTTATTTTTAAAAGTTAGCTACAACCACCAGAGGGCAGAGTTCCTCAAACAGTTCCGTTCCCTTTTGAACTTTTGTGCCCTGTCACTGGCAAGCGTAGTTAGAAGAGCCTGTCCACTATAGGGAAATTGTTCTTTCAGATGCTGGGTGCCAATTCCATTTCTTTTTTTTTTTTAAAATTATTTTATTGGTGTTTTAGCCTGTATGTATATCTGTGTGAGGGTGCTGGATCCTGGAGTTACAGACAGTTGTGAGCTGCTTTATGGGTGCTGGAAATTGAACCCCGGTTCTCTAGAAGAGCAGTCAGTGTTCTTAACCACTGAGCCATCTCTCCAGCCCTGCCAATTCCATTTCAACTTTCACCTTGCCTTAGCAAATGCTGTTGTGAGAGAATCACATGTGCTTTCTCCATGAGGCATGCTTGTGTTTCTGGCATCTTCCAGCCGCCAATCACCAGGGTCAAACAGGTTTATTTATTTTATTTAATTGTATTACTTAGTTGAGACAGAGTCTCATAATGTGACCTGTCTGGCCTGGGACTTGCTGTGTGGACAAGGCTGGCCTAAAACGCATGGAGATCATTTGCCTGTCTCTGCCTCTGAGTGCTGGGATTAAAGATGTGCACCACCATGCCTCAGACAGGTCTATTGCAGGCCCAGACTGAAGGCGGGGCTGTGGGATGGCTTCAGAGTCTTGTCGTCCCCCCCCCCCCCCCCCGCAGGCGTGGCCTTAGTCAAGCGTCCTCAACCCAGCTTAGCTTTCTAAGAGTGACAGGTGGCACAAGCGTGATACGGGAAGCCCACACTTCCTGCTAGGGCGGCACAGGTGAGAGGAAGCTGTGTGTGAACTGGGTCTGACAGGACAGGGAGTGGAGCTTTTTGAGTTGGGGGTTCCTCGTGGCTCTGACTTGTAAGGCACCAGCATCTCAACAGAAAACAAAACAAAACAAAAGCAAAACACTGTTTTAAAAAACTTCCTGAACTGACTGGGGTGAGAGTGGAGAAAGAGCCTGGCAGAGGCAGAAAGTGCCTCAGTCTGGGATTACTGGGGAGCATCTGGGTGACATTGGCGGCTGTGTGGCGGGCAGCCAGTGCAGAGGCACTCAGCCCTTTTCTTAGCATGAAATCTAATTCCTCCCACTCAGAGATTGGCTATTACTTTGATGTTGAATAGGATCCTCATTTGGGCCACAAATATTGCTTGAGGGGAGGTCAAGTGTAAGTTACAATGTTTTTACAGTGGTCTTCAAAAGGCTGGCATTTATTATCTAACACGTGCTAGACTGTCCACTTGGCTATGTAAACTAAAAATTCTTGAGTACTGAGATTCCTAGATTGAAAGAATTTATTCAGGGTTACAGCCGGGTAAAGGCTGCCTGAGCACCTGGCCCCCAGAGCCAGCTCCTGAGGTCAGTATGCCCAAGAATGCCGGCAATTCCTTCATCTGGGGCTTTGTTTTCCCCTCCCTCCTGTAGGGTATGGGGGGGGAGAGAGGTGCTTACCAGGGAAGCTTACTGAATTTTCGGGGAAAGGAAGGTAGGACAGTTGGGAGGAAGAAATAGTTTTTTTTAGGGTCTTGAGTGCGGGTGTGTGTGTGTGTGTGTGTGTGGTCACACTGTGCTCCTCTGTGAGTGTGGGCTTGCCTGACTCGTTCTGAGCGGCTCTGCCGCGGAACGGCTGCAAGAATTACAAAAAAGCACCGCTAGGGGGTGCTCAGCAAAGTGAGGCTCCAGGCCTGAGCTGCTCTCTTCCTACTCCCCCCATCACCCCTCCCCCCGCCCCGTGCCACTGCTGGAAGGTGACACCCGGCTGGAGTCGGGCAGGTGCACTCCGATTTGGGCTCCTGAGCTGTGGTGGGCTGCTAGTTTCACCCGCAGGAAACTGTAGCATTGCTGTCCAGGAGGACTCCTCCTTCCCATAGGATCCATCCGGCATCTGCCCCAAGCGACTTCTCCCAGGCTGGCCTTGCAGGACAGAGCGGGTAGCTCTGGTGTGGTTCTGTGAGCCTTGAGCGAGCCTGAAGGCCTGTGGGAGCAGCTGTGTAATGAGCATTGAACAGGACAGCAGTGGTGGTGGTGGTTGTGGGC